GAGAATGGGCAGACTGGTTAGAGATGATAGAAAGGCAACAGTAACTCAAATAACCACTCGTTACAACCAAGGTATGCAGAATACCATCTCTGAACGCACAACAAGTCGAACCCTGAAGCAGATGGGCTACAGCAGCAGAAGACCACACCAGGTGCCACTCCTGACAGCTAAGAACAGGAAACGGAGGCTACAATTTACACAGGCTCACCAAAATTGGACAATAGAAGATTGGAAAAACGTTGCCTGGTCTGATGAGTCTCGATTTCTGCTGCGACATTCAGATGGTAGGGTCAGAATTTGGCGTAAAGAACATGAAAGCATGGATCCATCTTGCCTTGTCTCAACGGTTCAGGCTGCTGCTGGTGGTGTAATGGTGTGGGGGATATTTTCTTGGCACACTTTGGGCCCCTTAGTACCAATTGAGCATCGTTTATATGACACAGCCTACCTGAGTATTGTTGCTGACCATGTCCATCCCTTTATGACTACAGTGTACCCATCTTCTGATGGTTACTTCCAGCAGTATAATGCACCATGTCACAAAGCTCAAATCATCTCAGACTGGTTTCTTGAACATGACGATGAGTTCACTTTACTCAAATGGCCTCCACAGTCACCAGATCTCAATCCAATAGAGCACCTTTGGGATATGGTGGAACGGGAGATTCGCATCATGGATGTGCAGCCGACAAATCTGCAGCAACTGCGTGATGCTATTATGTCAATATGGCCCAAAATCTCTGAGGAATGTTTGTAACACCTTGTTGAATCTATGCCACGAAGAATTAAGGCAGTTCTGAAGGCCAAAGGGGGTCCAACACGGTACTAGCAAGGTATACCTAATAAAGTGGCCAGTGAGTGTATATATACACTGAACAAAATTATAAACGCAACACTTTTGTTTTTGCCCCCATTTTTCATGAGCTGAACTCAAAGATCTAAGACTTTTTCTATGTACACAAAAGGCCTATTTCTCTCAAATATTGTTCCTGGAAGCTTAAAACATCCCAGTTCTTGTATGGCCAGCACACTCACCGGACATGTCACCCATTGAGCATGTTTGGGATGCTCTGGATCGGCATATTCGACAGCGTGTTCCAGTTCCTGCCAATATCCAGCAACTGTGGACCAACATTCCACAGGCCACAATCAACAACCT